GCATTTTATATTTCTCCAAATAGGAGCTCTGTAAGATATCAGTAGGAGTTTCCCAAAAAACACAGACTCCATGATTCAATATGCTTGGGAAAGACTTCACTGAACAAAATTAGACATGTTTCTTTTTGTAGATTGTTTTCAAAACTTTAATATTTCCAAGAGAAGTAAAGGGCATGCAGTATTTCTCTTGCTCATTGTTATAGGAGCCTATCATAGTATATATTGGTTATCTGGTGTGGTTACCTCATGCTATGTAACAAATAGTCCCAAAATTTAGTGGCTTCAAAAAACCAGCATAATCATCTCACAGTTTCTGTCAGGAGTCATGGCACGGCTTCACTGGGTCCCCTGGCTCAGGTTCTCTCATGACCCAGGTGTCACCTGGGGCTGAAGTCATCCCAAAGCTGAACTGGGCAATGATGCACTTCGAAGCTCATGAAAGTGGTTGTTGGTAATTTCAGTTCCACGCAGACTGTCAGAACCAGGACCTCAGTTCCTTGCTGGCCGTTAGCTGGAGGCCCCCTCCCATGAGGGCTTCTGCGTAGCTTGGCTCACAAAATGACAAGCAAGCAAGTAAAAGAGCAAAAGAGGGTAGACAGGATGGGAGCCAGAGGCTTTGTGTAACATTGTCTCAGAAGTGACATACCATCACTTTTGATTAGTTGGAACAGGGTCAACAAACAGGGTGGCAGGCTATAACTGTCTGCCATCCATTTTTGTAAATAAAGTTTTACTGGACACAGCTAATCATATAACTATAATAGCAGAGTTGAGTGATTGGAAACAAAGACAAAAATATTTACTACCTGGCCCTTTAAAGAAAAGTTTGGCTCTTCTGCGTTAGAAGCAAGTCCAGCGTGCACTTGAGGGGAGGGATTCACAAGGGCCTGGACACCAGGAAGCTTTGGTCATTGGCAGCCATTGTAGAAGCTGCCTACCACATAGCGCCTGCCCACGAGTAGGTATTTGATGCACATTTGCTGAGTAAGTGAATAATTGTTCACATTCTACCAATTTTCCAAATTCAAGGGCTGAAAAGCAAGTTACTAGTTAAAAAGCCCAATTCCTTCACATTAGGGTTTGACAACTGTGTCACCGCTATGACAGTTTATCAACCTATGTGATCTTATTATTAGTAATCTCCATCATTGTGTTAAATGAGTTATATGGTAAAAATGAGCTTAGAATTGAATTATTAGATAGACCTGACAGATCATTCTTTCATGACATTAGTGAATTAGAGGAAAGGGAAGTATTTTAGGGTGCCTACAGGGGGCTGAGAATTCTGGGGCAAGAATAGTGATTGTGAATTACGTTCACAATATGGCAGTCACCAGTTATTTTCTAATACCTTTAGAAATATGTACCTGGCATTTCTTCCTTGAGAAACTTTTAGATTCTATGCACTGAAAAAAATCTATTAGCAAGTCTTCCTCCTAAAGCACGAAGAAAGAATAAACTACTAGGGATGGGGGAAAAAAATTAACCCCTTAAATATGCCTCCTAAGAGGTAATCTGGTTCTAAGGGTTACAGGGGGGAGGGCAGGGGGGACAGAGTAAAAGAAAAATGCATGTGATTAGTGAAAAGACAGAAATTAAAAACTATTCCAGTTAAATAAAATGTCCTATTCAGGGCATGCAAAAACATGATTTAATTTGAACATAAACATATATAATTTTTATTAAATGCACAAATGTAATGAAAGCAATAGCATATTTTGAGGAAATGTGTGTTATTGGAAAGCACAGAAGGTGATAGGAAATATCATATTTACAAGAAGAAACTGAACAAAATCACATGCTGAATTTGCTCAGTTTAAAGCTATAGAATTAAGGTTCTAACAAGAAGCAACTGTACTGTTTAAATTTATTCAAGAGAAATAACCAGTTATGTTGCTCTAAAATTTTCAAATGCCTAACCTCTCCTTTCTCTCACTGAAATAATTTTTAGGGCATGATTTTTGAGGTTCCTGAGGTGCACAAATGTCAAGATCAGCCTGAAAACAAATGTCTAGGTTGTTCTGAACTTGACTAGAGATGATGTCAGGATATTTGGTCTGATACTTATGGAAAGATTTCTTAAATACAGCATAAGTACTTTTAAAAAAGACAAATATTTCTAAGTACCACAGTTTAATTATTTGTCGTATTCATCAAATCTTAGCATATTGACTCAGAGCTGTACCATTATAACCATGAAGTGTACTCACTGTAGATTCTTAGCTATTTCTCCTTCACTACCCTCCCAGGCATAGCACTGGGCTCCCCACCCCTGACCAGGGTGAACCTGAGCAGCTTCAGTTTTCCAAAGGACTGAAGTGGCACTGGAGAGAGACAAAACAATCTCTGCGCTGGGTCGGGTCCGAGGTGGGCTATGACAAGCAAACTCCTACCTCCTCCGGCAGGCATTTGGGATAGGCTTGGGGCGATACCCTCCCCTTCCTGCTCTGCCCCCTGCATATTGGACTCCAATCTAAGAAAGAGGGTGGTAACTGGCAGATGGAGAGAGTTTGATGGTGTAAACTACTTTGGAGTCCTATGAAAATCAGAGTTTTCCACAGTGCCCCATAACTTGACTTCATTTCCACCCTAAATGAGTGTCCCGGGGGAGGCGAGCATTTACTTCCCGCAGCCCAACTCCAACCTGTCCCTACTCAGAGACTGTTTTGTTTCTTCTCCGCGCCACTTCTGTCTTGGATAATTCTGCAGTGGCTCAGGTTCTCCAAGGTCATCGAGACAGCGTCCTGTCTCCGCGCTGCCCAGGACCGTCCGGAGGCTGCATGGGGAACCCGAACCAGCCCGGGCGCTGTGCCCGGTGGTGTTCCAAGCAAAAGCTGCGGCCCAGAAGCCAAGGGCTTTACCTCTGGGAGGTGGCCGAGGGAGCCGGCACCCAGCAGCTGCCGCCTCTTGGGACCAGGTAGTGAAAATCTGGAGCAAGACCTCAGCTGCAGCCTGGAGCGGGCGCGGGGGGCGGGGCGTGGAAAAGGTGGCCCCGCACCATCTCCGTAGCGACCGGACAACACGGCCGGCTGGCACTCACCCCCACTCCGCTGGCGCAGAGGGCCTGCTGTTCACCTGGGCTGGGCTGGGCTGCGCCGGGCCGGGCCGGGCTGGGCCGGGCAGGGACTCGCGTGACCACTGAGCTCTCCTGGCCTGAGTGCCCAGAAGCTGGGGTAACGCCAGGCTGCCGGACTCCTGGATACCGAGGCAATGCTTGCTTGGTGTCAGAGAAAGTTAACGATTTTAATTAAGGCCTTAGGGTGGGAAAGGTGGGGTTTCTTATCTTCAGTAAATCCTCAGACTATTTTAGACTTATTGTCAATTTTATAATTTTACAGGAGGTACCAAAAACCAAAGCTCAAAAGCACCCTTCCTAATTGGTTTTTAACGATTCTGGTCGAAATGTCTTTAGTTATTGTGAAGCCTTTAAACTTTTTTTTCCCCCCTCCTATGTAGATGAATAGTTACCACCATGGAAAAATAGCAGCAGCAGGTAAGAAAACCGTGTGAATGACTGTACGATCTAATTTTTTGTAAATAAACAAGTTTAAGCAGCCTGGAAGTTGGTTTGCTCTGGTAGTATTTTTTTTTTTTTTTAAATCGCCTGTAATGAAAATTTATCTACAAGGAATATAAAACATCGATATAATAAATTAACTTTATTCTAAGCCAGGCACCTCATTTCCTGTTGCCTTACCATGTTTAAGTCATGTAAAAGAATACAAATTAGGTAAGTGAAAATTTTATTACCTGTGTCCCACATGGGGTCCCTCGACACAAAGGAGAAATGAATCAACCAGGCCAGGCTGCTGCTCTGCCACTAATCCACAGGAAACGGCTTCCGCTTTACTCTGTCTCAGGGCCCATCCAAGAAAAACATGTCACACGGCAGCTTCCTTTTCTTCTGTCGGACCCCAGAGTGCTGTTTCCCCCGGAGTCCCTATTGTCTCCACCCCACAGAAATGTTTCCCAGGTTGTATGTAATGGTCTAGTCATCTTCTCACTGTTAAAAGGGACATTCAAAGACCACTCAGATAAACTGATCAAAATTTTTTAAATTCTGAATCCCAAAAAATCACTAAAACCAGTATTTTTTTTTAAAATTATCATTCAATGGGTCCCCACTCTCCCTGTCCCCAAGGAGGTGCTTGTTTCTATGGCCTGGAAACAAGGAGGCAGAAGCATGGAGGCCCCTTCTGCCCGGTGAAGGCAGCCGAGCTGTGAACTGGCAAACGAAATGTGGTCCATCCATACAAGGGAACAGGAGTTGGCTGTGAAAGGAGATGAAGTGCTGATAGACGCTACAGGGTGGATGGACTTTGAAAGCATCGTGCTGAGTAAGAGAAACCAGTCACAAAGACCGTGTATTGTACAATATGATTCCGTTCATAGAAAATGTCCAGAATAAGCAAATTCATAGAGACAGAAGTAGATCCTGGTTACCAAGTGCTGGGGGGGTTAGAAGATGGGGAATGAGTGCTAATGGGCTTCTTTGGGGGGGGGTTGATGCCTGCACAACTCTCTGTACTAAACCCACTGAATTGTACACTTGAAAATGGTAAATTCTATGGTAAATGGATTACTTACATCAAGCTATTTGAAATGGGCGAGAAAGCTAATGTTTGCTGGACATCACTGGTGTCAACTATTGCGCTGAGCATCTTGGTATATACTTTTTTAATTCCTTATAACAATCACAAGGAATATTAACCTCTTTTTCTAGATAAAACAAAAATTAAACTCAGATAAGCCGAGTAAGTGTACATGGACACGAAGCTAAGGAGCAGACTGTGGATTCCAATCGAGGTCTAACTTTAAAGCCCATGCTCTCCTCATTACACCATTTAAAAGCGGACAAGGTGCAGCATTTGCAAAAGTTAGAGAACCTCAAATTTTATGAGCACCGTTTACGTTTGAGAATTGAACTCATACTCCCAGACTGAAGACTACAGGCTTCTTCAAAACAAACAACAGAGACAAATGTAAAACAACCACTTTATTAAAAATAGCAAATTTCACAAATACTCATTGAACATTTTGTTATCGCTGGCCATGGAAAACACACCAGTGTGTGTACTGATGATCTAATGTAAACTGAAGCTGGGCTGCTGCAAAAAGCCTGCGCATCAACTGAGGATCAACAGTGGAATAAGTTTGGTGAGGTCAAGGGTAAATCCTTCAGCCCTATGGACAACGTTTAGCACAATGCATTTCAAGTATAACCCCAGAAGGCAACAACAGTAAGCATAGCAGCACAACCTCTTCATCACATTTCCTGATTAAGCCTTTGACAAGGCCAAGGCCCCGGGTTACAGTGAATTACAGCAAGTTAAATTTACTAAAAGCAGTATGTGAAGACAGTCATTGCACTTGCACTTTAATTACTTTAATTCCTTATTGTGGAAAATGATTCTGCTACTGGATTCAGCTGGAAAAGTAAAGAATGCTGCTTTTCTTCAAACCACAAGAAAGCAACTGCATTTCATTTTAGCTGGTAGAAGTATTTGGAACATCTTGTGCATCTGCCAAATGGAGTTTTTGTCTGCATTCATCAGTTAAGGAGATTTTCATTCTATAAGAAGTACATCTTTTAAATTTCTGGATATTACACTCAGGGGTAAGAGACCAAGGCATTAAAAAATATATATATTTAAAGGGAAGGTGCCTATGTTGCTAATGAGAAACTTAGAAGTGGTAGGACAGTTTTTAAATGTAGTGAAGTAATTATAACTATGCCTAGGATTTGAAGACTTTCAAAAAAAAAAAATCACACGCAAGACTATGTTCTCTTAAGGCAGTTAGAATCATTTTCATGGTAAGGAGCTGATTAGAGACAAATATAAAAATTTGCTGTATTAAAAATTCACTTGAGAAGACAATACCACTTTATCATCCTTGAGAAAACAATTTCTTTGTAAAAGTCAAAAATAAAATTAAATCTTCATAGCTCTAAAACCTCTCGTATAATTCTCTGAATCATTCAATTGGAAATTGGTGGGATTTCTACACATATTGGTCCCCTCTCATCATCATTGCCTTTCATTTTCCCCTTTCATCTCTATGATCTACCTGCTACCTATTTCTCAAGACCCAGCTTGAACAATGATATGGATACATGGAGAACTAATGCGAGGAATATATGTATGGGAGAGGTTGCCAAAATGTACACACACGGGCCCTGCCATCAAAGACATTCTCGTCCAGTTGGAAGGCTGAGATTTAACACCTATAAAAATCAACAGATAATGAAAAAAAGCAGAATGCTAGTTTGAGATACAAACCAAATGTGTTATGGAAGTGGTCAGCTTTGGTGTTATTTGGTGAGGAGAAGGGGGAGGCCAGAGCCAACTCCGGCGTGGAAGCACAACCTGAGCAAAGGTATTGGTAGACGTGAACATGATGTGTTCTTGGGCATCAGAGAACCACCTTGGTGGGAATAAAAAATAAAATAGGGTGTACTGGTGGTGATTAAATTAGCAAGAGCCTTTAGAAAGTTTGGCATTGTAAAAAAAAACTTGGTAAGGAATAGGAAAGGCAAGATGAAAGTGATGTTTTAAGAAGGACAATTTAGTGATAACATCTAAAGTCTACAGCAGCACTGTCCAATAGAAATATAATGCGAACCACAAGTATAGTTTTTTAAACTATATTTTATTTACGCTAATGTATCAAAAATTATCATTTCAATATATCATTATAAAGATATTTAGATACTTCACAGTCTTTTTTTCCCTACTAAATCTTTGAAATCAGGGATGCATATTAGACATATAGCACTTTCTAATCCAGGTTAGCCACACTTCATGTGTTAGTGGCTATGTGGCTAGTGGCTGCCATGCTGGACAGTGCAGCTCTAGGGTTGGAGTAGATATTTGAAAGGTTATGGAATCAGGTGAGGAAGGTAGAGAATTACGGAAGAATAAAAGGCAGAACAAACAATGCCTGACAACTAATTAAGAGATGGCATAACATTTCATGTCCATGTTCAGGCTCAGTGGCAAAAAGCGCCATGATTGATGAGCAGTATCTGCTATTGTCACAGAAGGATTTTTAAATAATCTTGGTGATTGAAATGACTGAGGCACTGACGACAGAGATGGAATTAGGGAGGGAAAGTATGAGCACAGAGAGAACATTTATTACAGAGGAGGAAACTACGGTGGCCAGACTTTGCTCAGGGTTGCACAGCTGCGGAACAGCATTTGAAACAAGCAGTCCAGAGCGCATGCTCTCATGCTCTTCCACGCTGCCTTGGGTAACTGGTGGCTGACACGAGGAAAGCGGTGAGACAAACAGGTCTGAATGTCTAACAAAAACATTCAGGTTAGAAGTTAGGAGGTACTTAAGTGTCATAGGCCTAGAAAGAATATAAATCTCGGAACAAATATAAACAACAAAGAAATAGGAACCACTTCTAAGAAAAGCCCCCTAAGTAACTCATCTTACCCCTGTATTTAAGTCTTTCTTAAGTGATGATGACAATGATATCTTAATTAATATCCCCCCAAAGTTTACGTGGCTTCTCAAAATTTTCTGTAAAATGGGGAGTATAACACCACTTACCACTTACTTCCAAAGGTAGACTCAGTTGAGAAAATGTGTGTTAAATCCTTCATATTACACTTGGCAAATTGTAAGTATTCAATAAAGATTAGCTATTAATCGTTATTACTAGATTTAAATATACCTCCCTACTTGGCAAATTGTAAGTATTCAATAAAGATTAGCTATTAATCGTTATTACTAGATTTAAATATACCTCCCTACTTCTTCATTGTTGTTACTGTACAATTCAACAATTAATAACAGCACTGCTATAGTAATAATAGTAATTTACATACATATGTAAGTATATATATATTATACATATAATGTAGTTTGGAAAATGTCACATACACATCATGTGTAGCAATCAATGCGTATTACAGAGGACACTGAGATATTAAACAATTTGCCCAAGGTTACATTACCAAAACATGGAACCAAATTTCAAAAATTAAACCTCTTGACTTCTTTCTAGTATTTCATTATTTGGTTCAAAGGGATGTCTTTCCTCTCAAATGAAATTATTTCATAGGTAGGATCATTTCTTACTGTTCTATGTACCTCACATTGTGGCTATCACTGTGTTAAAAAAGAAAACATTTTGAAAAGTTCCTGAAATAATTGCTCTCAGTTGAAATGCCAAAACCTGAATATTTTACATGTATCTTGGCTAATCTTATAATATACTTGGTACACTTAATTATGAAAATGTCATTTTACAAGCTATGTAAGTATCCATTGAATGTCTAATTTTCAATTTTATGCATTTAAATATTCTATGCAATAATATTAAATTAAGCATAGTATATCTGGATATCCAACTGCCATTGAGCCTCAGAATCTAAGATTCAAAATAGTTCACAGGACAACTAGGTTAATACTCAACTCTCTTAATTAAAAACATTTTTTAAAAGCAAAACAAAGTAAAGCAGAACAAACCGGAAACAAACAAAACAACTAGAAAACTCCATTTGGAAACCAAAGGGGAAGAGAGAAAGCCCCAGTAACAAAGAGTAGCCCCAGTAACAAAAAGTAGGTGTCTTTGTTCACTATAATCTAAAAAATCATCTTTCTAAAACATGATTGGGACTATTTACCAGAAATTACAAGTTGTAGACTTTTCATTGTTGTAATTAGGCAAAGGATACATGGAAGAATTCAATTCTTCTAACTGTAACACAAAGAAACACATTTAATTTTAATTTTCATAAGGTAGATATAACAATAAATATCATAACTCTACATTTGTAAATAAATTATTTTTCATTTAACCTTTCTTTAAATGAAAAAGCAAAATATTACAGAAAAAACTTTTCAAAAATTCACTTATGCAAAAATATTATAAAGTAGCTTTAGCATTTATTAAACAAAACTATGCAAAGAGAATTAAACCAGATAACAACTGGGGTTTCATAAGTATACTTAAAACCAGGCATAATTATAATCATCTCTAATAATATTTTTTAAAAGGAAAAAAGTTGCCATTTTAATGATCAAAATCATTAATTATCATTTAATGATCAAAAACATTAATAAAGATTAAGATAATTCTAACTATCGGTCTTGAGGAAATACTTTTAAACTCTAGGTGCTGCAAAAGAAATTAAGGATTACAAAAAGATTTTATGTAGCATTCCATTTTCAGTATGAGGTAGAATTGATCACCCCTAGAGGGAAAAATCTGAGTTGCAGAAATGTTAAATCGTTCAAAGTTACAAATGCAGATCCTGGACTAAACAAAAGCTTTCTGGTTTCAAATTCAGTGTTATTTTCAGCATACCACAGCCACTTTCCTAAATGTATTGCAATTTCAGCTTGTATTTGTTAAGAGGAACTGGTAAAAGGAAATAGATGCAACACCGAGCACAGTAGACTTGAAATAAAAAGTATAGGCTTGAAATTTTTAAAGTATGGCCATGTGATTTCCTTCACACTGACTCAAAAGATAGAGAAAAACAACAGAATGTCATTGGTGACCATGGAAACCATTCTGAAACTAAAGTACACTGAATTCAATTTTCACTAATTTTTGTTCCAAAAAATATTTAAGTGCCAAATGTAGTGAACACTTCCCAGTAAAAGAATCATAGGTGGCATTATGGGCTGAATTACATTCTCTCAAAATTCATGTGTGAGTCCTATGTCCTAGCACCTTAGCATGTGTGGGTATTTAGACAGGGTCTTTAAAAAGGTCATTACGTTAAAATGAGGCCATGTGGGTGGGCCCTAATCCAATATGACAAGAAGAGGAAATGTGGACACAGGTACCCACGCACAGTGGGAGAGCGCCATGTGACCATGAAGGTGGCCATCTACCAGCCAAGGAGAGGGGCCTCGGGAGAAAGAACCCTGCCAACACCTCGCTTACAGCTTTGAGTCTCAGGAACTATGAGAAAATAAATTTCTGTTGTTTAGCTACCCAGCCTATAGTACTTTGTTACGGCAACTCTAGCAAGCTAGTACATGTGGAAATGTATTAAATTACTTTAAATAACAGACAACAGTTCTATATTTAAAAATAAGTAAAACGCTTAATGAATAATGCAGTATGTATTAATCATGTTAGGATTTTTTGACATACTATTTTCTATATCTTAAGTTCTTATCATGTATGTACAGAAGCTAATATTTCACTTTAAGATTTGTCAGCATTCTCAGAACACATGTATAATGTCTTTGGATTATAATTTCTTTAAAAAAAGAATAAAGTACAACACGGATGAGACTTGAAAACATTACACTAATTGAAAGAATCCCAACACAGAGCCACATGCTGTATGATTCCACTTATATGAAATGTCCAGAAGAGGCCAATTCATAGAGACAGAAGCTCGGGTAGTGGTTGCCAGGGGCTGAGGGGTAGGGAGAACTGGGAGTTACAGGGTTTCTTTTTGGGCTGACGAAAGTGTTCTGAAATTACAGTGGTGATGTCTGCACAGCACTGAATATACCAAAAACCACTGAACTGTACACTTTACAATAGTTAAAATCGTAAATTTTATGTCAATAAAAATATTTATTAAGAAAAGAATAAAGAAAAAGAACTATACTCACATCAGACAAAAGCCTATCCAGATTGGAGTCACTAGCTGTTTTCCTCTTATCCTCAGGAAGTTCCTCTAACTCCCCATAGAGCTCCAAATTCAGGCGAGCTAATTTCTCCTGCATTCCCCGAACATGTTCCATCTGTTCAATGGAACATTCATTTCCTGGGAGAACATTCCAGAACATCAGTAAAGATTAAGATAGCTCTTTATCGGTCTTGAGGAAATACTTTTAAACTCTAGGTGCTGCAAAAGAAATTTATTATCTTCTTTTGTAAATTATTTTGTTAATGATTGATTATTTTCTAAATATAATAAATGTAATTTCTGACCAGGAAAACAACAGCAATCTAAGAAATGATCATGGACACTAGACAAATCATATAGAAAGATTTTAATAAATATTCTTTAGGTAAAGAAGATACCTTTTTTTAATAGTAATACATATAAAGTAAGTACATCATTTAATCATCTTCAATTTGATAACTGTCATTTGAATTAAGTGATCCAACATTTTATAATAATCTCAATGAAATTAAGAGTCATATAAAGACTTCAACCATGAATCCTTTCCCAACTAATTACGTATTCCTCCTTGGAGTAATACGAAAATATTCATGAAGCACATAGAATATTATGAAGCATGAGAAACACAATGTAATACTTTCAATTGTATACTCAGTAGTACAACTTAATTGATAAATGAAATCTAAAATGACTGCGTTTTCTGCCTCTGGATTCCGTTTTTAACAAAAGAAAATTACACTTTTAAAAGGAATAGCAAAATACCTGCAGAACATAGGATGTAAAAATCTTGAAAAATGGTAAATACAAACATCTATTGCTTACCAAATGCTTGCAGTTTTCCAGAGTGGAAATCATTCAAAAGGCTTAGAAGTCCCTTCTCCATCTCCTGAACATCTGAGACATCAGTAAGAAAGGAATGCTGAATTGGAGTTGACTGAGCACCTTTTCCTTCTCCACCCTGAGGTTTTGTCTTCTCTTTCATCACTCTGCAAATAAGATGAAATTTAAAAAATCAATTTCAGGGTTGCCAGTTCGATTCCCTGTCAGGGCACATGCCTGGGTTGTGGGCCAGGTCCCCAGTTGGGGGCTCATGAGAGGCAACCACACACATGGATGTTTCTATCCCTTTTTCTCCTTCCCTTCCCCTCTCCCTAAAAATATATAAATAAAATCTTTTTAAAAAATCAATTGCATATAACTGTCTTTAAAAAGAGATGATTATTTTCAGACTGTTCTAGGTTAAGCAAAATTTGTAAATTAAATGGAATTTCCCTTAAAAACAAGAAATCAGAACAAATTCAATACCAAATAAAATAAGTAATTTCAAGCCAGAAATCAAAAGAACAGGTTGTGAAAATCTCAAAGAAATGTATAAAATATAACTACTTAGGTATATAAAAAGTTTGGTTAATACATTTATATTATATGCCAATTCCTTGGACTTAAACAGAATTAGTATTTTTACTATCCTATGTTTCATATTTTATTTCTCAGTATATATACACCTTTCCCTTCTAAACTTTATCCTATTTATTTCATGAACTATCAGTCATTCAACAAGCAGTTATGGAGCCCCACGGTGTCGGTAGCTGACACCATGCCAGATACCGGGTGTATAAAAGATGCACATGACATTAATCATTGCACGGGAGAGTACCCAGTCTAAAGAGAAAGAAAGAGACATAAACTCCTAACTGCCATATGATGGAGTGCTAAAAGCCTGTTATTAACCTTGGCTCCTCCAAATTCCAAAGGCCCTGCCATGCAGTCATGAAATCAATTGATAATAACCATAGATACATCTCTAATCTTTCGAGTTCTCTCTTCTCCACTGCCACTACCCTATCTCTTGACCGACTATTCCTAACTGGTCTTCCTGTCTCTATGTGTTGTCTCTGATCCCCCTTCTCTCCCCACAGAGTAGCCAAGTCAACTTCTTAAAAAGTAAAAGCGGAGCATATTATTTTCTTTTTTCAAACCTTCAGTGGCTTTGCGCTGCCTGCTGCATAAAGCCCAGTATACTTAAGAAACCCTGTCCTCTTTTGTCTATCTACCTGGAGTGTCCAAACTTTTGGATCTCTGGGCCACACACTAAATACACTGTGACACATAATCACACACACACACACACACACACATGCAAATGTCATGTTTTAAATAAATTAACGATTATGTGTCAGGCCGCATTCATAGCCATCCTGGGCCACAGGCTGGACTCCCCTGGGAGACATTCTCAATCTCTTTGCCTCCTAGAATTCCATTTTCTTATCTGTCTACATGCTAATCCTCTGCCTACATGAGCGTCCTTCTTACTGCCATCTTTGTCAGGCTGCCTCCCACACATCCTTCAAGTCTCAGTCTAAATGCTACTTTCTCGGGAAGGCCTTTCTAAAACTCCTAGACTAGATTAGTTCTTATTACACATATCTATTATAGTATATGTCAGGCTAGGAAACACTTGAGTGATAGGGGAACGGAGAAAGAACACTCACTCAACCTAGGTGTAGCCAGAGAAGACTTCCTAAAGGTGGTATGTGAGTGAAGCCTTAAAGAAAAGTAAGAGTTCACCAGGCAAAAAAGGAAGAAACAGTTGTATATTATCTGTATAACTACAACACGCACTACAGGTCCTGGCATACACATATATTCAATACTCAATTTCTTTGTCATGTTGCATGAAGACATCTTTTCCATAAGAGTACCCACCAAAATAATGATAAGATACATGGGCTATATGGTAGGCGTGGGGAAGGGTGTAGAAAGAAACTAATACTCTTAACAAAAAATCAACTTAGAACACAAGGCTGTTGACAGTAGGTCAGCAACAGCTCTTCACAAAGCAAAATCTGTATCTTGTATACTTATTAGGTATGCGTTTCATTATGTAGCACCTTGCTACTCAAAATACCAAGACCCATAGCATCAACATCACCTGTGAGCTAATTTAGAGCTGCTTATCTGAAGCCCTGTCCCAGACTAACTGATTTGGAATCTGCATTTTAAAAAGATCCCTGAGAGATCCATATTTACATTAAAATCTGAGATAAACTACTATAGACTATAAGGTTTTAGTACATATCTTTTCTTTCACATTGGAAGTTTTATCCAAAAAGAAAATAAAAACCTGTTTATTCTACTTCGGTGTTTTTGATCATGTCACAGTGTCTCATTTTACAGTAAAGTAATTCAACAATAAAAAAGCACTCATTAGCGTTACACCAGCTGCAAAGCCCCACTCTAAGTACTGTCTGACACATAAGGATTATTAATACAGCCCCCTCCTTGTACAGGAAGGTGAGAAATGAAAGTACACGGTAGAAAAGGACAATAAGATACAAGTAAACTGCTATAAAAATTTAGAAAAAGGAGTAATTACCTTTAAAATCTCTTGGCTTTCTGGCTTTCTTTTTTCTTTCAACCATCACCATATTCAAAATCTGACTCTAAATTAAACTCAGCCAGAAGGAAAACCCTTTCCAATCTGATAATTTATTCAAAGGAAGCCCTCATAACTCTTTGTTGTTTATCATTTAACCCTTACGGGAATGTTCCTTTCCAATTTCTTTGGCTATGTCTCTTTTGCTTCCTCAGAGTGTGAGACCATCATCAAAGCAAGAATCTCCTTACCATTGTGGAAACCCAATGGCTACAGACCGCTACAAGCATTGCTTCCTTAACTGGCTCTTCACGAAGACCTTGCAATTGGAAGCAAGTTAACTTAATCGCAATAAGAAAAAGAATTAAGATTATGAAATGCTTTTTCTCTAAAAAAATGTTACCTTGCTTTCCAAATATTTAATACTACAAAATAGTCACACATATGCAACAGTAATATATATCACATTTACACTTGTCATTCCTGTTTCTTTTAGAGTCTGGAAACAAATGATGTTCACCAAATATTAATGATTACTTCTAGGTGATGAAATTTTAGTGTTTTAAATTTCTGCTCTGAATTCTTCCTGTGTTTGAATTTTTAAAATACACATTATTTCTACAAAAACAATGAAACCACACTTAAAAAAATAAAAAAAGATTACCAAAGCACAAAAACTCATCTTAGTTTAATAAAAATATATATCCATCCTTTATCTCATTTCTGGCTAGCTCATCAACTTTGTAAGTTTTTTTTGCTGTTTATTTTAATAGGAGACAAAGTAAGTACCTTTAAACCATTCACTTTGCACTAATCTCTATACATACACTTTAACCTTTCTAAATTTTTTTCTAAATCACATATAATATGGGTCTCAACTGTTTTAAAAGTCAAGAGAAAACGTGTTATAAGAATTACAGGATTCAGTATTTATTTTAATAGCATTTTGCTGCAATATTACGAAAGAAAAAAATTCACCGTTTTAACTTTGGTCGCTGTGAAGTGGACTGTGATGCAGGATTTGAAAACCCTGTGCTTTTACTAACTGGAATGGCATTTTTTTTGGCATTAACGACCTGAGTAGAGTGGGCGCTAAAAGACTTGGGACTCCTCCTCTTCACTTTCCGCTCCTCCATTGTTTCAGGGCCAGCTTCTTAAGACTTAAAGAAAAACAGCAAAATTATATATGTATATTATAATACACCAAAATGAAAAAGGTTCAAATACCCGCTTCAAAGGCTGAAAGAAGATCAAGAATTTCAGGGGTTGTTAGAGAAAGTTAGAATAAGGATGCTTTAAATTTAATCTACTGCACTTGTGCGCAGAAGCCCTAAGACAAATTGTCTATCAAACAACATTGTTTTTCACCATTTTCTTTATTCCCTCATCCCACAAATATTAACTCTCTTCCAGTTGCCCAGCATTATTCTAGGCATTAGGGAGACGGTGCTTAACAAGACAAAGTCCTTGCCCTCAACAAACCTACATTATTGAAGGGTAATTACATAAAAAATAAACAAAACAGCCACGTGATAGTCCCAGTCTGACTCAAGATTCAGGTGGCCAGTAGATCTCCCTTCTAAAATATACTCTTAGAAGAACCAACTAGATTCAAACAGATGTATAATTGACAGGAGTATCTGCATTTGAACTAGTGACTCGAAACCTTATTTCAGCTACCAAGCAGAAACTCAATGTCTGTCTAGGGATAATACTGATTAGTTTCTTGATCAAGTGAAGTTATGTAAAATTAAACTTATTCTGTAAGTACTTTTTAAAAAAGATTGTATTTACTTATTTTTAGAGAGAGGGGAAGGGAGGAAGATAAGGAGAGAAACATTGATGTGCAAGAGAAACATGGATGGGTTGTGTCTTGCATGCATTCCAACAGGAGACCAGTCTGCAACCCTGACCAGGAATCGAACCCATGGCCTTCTGCTTTGCAAGACGATGCCCAACCAACTGAGCCAGGGCCCGTGGCTATTATTAATATACTTTCTCTACCTATTTCCAGGGGAAAATGGAGCTTTATTATATGTGTTTAGCTTTGCTAATATCAAAAAATTTACACTATGAAGTTACAGCTGACCCTTCCATAGAAAATATATGTAAGACCTTCTGTTTATCCAATGCTTTTCCCTTATATTAACCAGCTTTATTTTCCTACGTGATCTGTCTAAAATATCCTTCCTACACTCCTTTTTATTTATGCATAATATTAACTTCTTCTTAATTATATTGTTTCATGTATCACAAGATGAGAAATTTACCGTATATGGCTATTTAACTCATCAGATTGTGAAGTGCCTTAGGAGCATCAATCCTTTTTTTGTATGTTGAGTTGCATTTTAATCATGCTATGACTGTTCAAAAAGATTCAAGTCCACTGATGTCCCTTCTAAAATAATTAACTGAGAATTATAACGAAAACGGATGTTTTGCCATTGTCCGGAATTGGTGCCCCACGCACCGGCATTTAAACCACTGAGCTCAGTGGGCTCAGGCTGACACTAAACAGTCATAACCGGGGCTATGACACCTCCAAAGGCGGAAAGATTTTCAAGGAAAGGCTCTAACGCCCAGTAACTAATCCCAGATCCTAAGTGAAAAAAAATCCCCTGAAATCCTTCTTGGCTAACAACTTTTCCTTTAAAGAAGCATTTTTAGTAACAGAACAGATATTTGGGGGTTGTCTCAGCATGCATCACCAACGATATGGAACTTTAGAAAAACTGAGTAGGGATGATGGGATGTAAGTTCTCCAAAGGGGCAAGGATCTGTAGGAAATAATATATATAATAAACACGCTGGCCTTTAAATTTAAGGCTAATACACGAAAAAGGAAAAGAACTTAGGAAGTAAAGCAATGCAAATAAACCATTAGTGGTCTAAACTAAGATGTTCCTAAAGGCTCGAAATGTGTCCGTTTTGGGAAGGTAACATCTCTGTTACAAGAGCCCGGAAACCCTGCTTGTATACCAAGAAGCAAAGAACCAGTTAGAAAAAGCCTTCCGAACGGCTCGTAGTTTATTCAGACTGGGTTTTAGAGCCAGGAACCCACAGCCTCCAAGAAGGACCACTAGATTCCCTCTGGACTTCATTCTGCTTCGCCAACCTGCCGACCCTTCGCTGCCCGGATTCCAGCCCCGGCCAGAGTGGGTGGTGGGAGGGGCCTAAAGGGGGCCATGGCGGGGGGGCCTTGGTTTACACTTCATACCTGCGGAGGGAGGGGATCGGGTCCTCTTCTTCAACCTGCAAAGACCCCGGAGCCTCCGAAACCACCGCCGCAGCCGCAGCAGCCGAAGCTACTGCTGCAGCTTGAGTCGGGGTCACATTCCGGACCCTGAGCGTTCACAGCGCCCTTTGTTGACGGAAGTGACGCAAGGAGATGGCGCCTTCGTGCCCTCAGCGGGAGCCTCGCCTCTTCCTGCCGCACGGGTCTGCACGGGTCTCCGCCCTTGACACCTCAGTGCTTTACCTGGCCTGCCTTCAGCTATGCCTGCGGCGGGCGTGGAAGAGAGGATCCATAGCTAGGTTTTCATTTTGGGTCCTGTGGCCCAAAAGCAGGGAAGATAAAGGGTGGCGGTGGAGGCAGGAACGAGAAATATAGTACCTTTTTGTGGATCTGCCCCGCCCCCTCGGTTACTGTCAGCTTTTACGCACTACAATTCCCAGTGTGCTGTTCGAGCCAGCCCAGGGGCGGAACCGGAGTGTCGTCATAGCAACCGTTCCTGGATTGTTTCCGTCACATCGCGGGAATTGACAAGGTAAACCACCTTGGACTCGGACGGCAGCGTGAAAACCCGTGCTGCTGAGCCTAATTGGAACCTAAATGGGATCCTATTATTACTATCATTAACCGCTACTCTGTTCAGGCACTAGACATACGTTTTCTCTAAACCTCGCTACGATTTTGTGAAGCAGGTGTTATAATCCCCGTTTTAGAAAAGAGAAATCTAACACTCAGGTTGATAAACCTACATCTCTGTTGTCAAGACAATTCTTCCAATACACATCCTTCCTCTGAAGAAAGAATTGCGGATTGAGAGAGATGGGGCTTTCCTAAGTGAAGGGAGGCATCATTTTCATTTCCTAGTTGGGATAACCTTTGGAGAGGGATTGGGAATGGGGAGGGAGGTTTTAGGTTCACAGACCGTTAGACTGAAGACACTCAGGAGAGCACCACAGATTTTCTTGCATTTGCTATTGAGGAAACGGGAAACCGAATCTAGAGATTATATCAGTGCCAGAGATGCAGAGCAAAGACGAACCCAATTACCCATATTTTAAAATTATGAAATGTTTTAAAAAGGAAAAAAAGTAAACATTCATGTAACCAGTAGCCAGAATGGAAGGATGTTACATTTTGTTGTTCTCTATTTTTAAGTGAAATAAATGGAACTTTACAGATAAAGCAGAAGCCACCTACTTCCCTTCTGAGAGGCAGCCACGATCTTAAATTTGATAGGCATCTTGCTAATCTAGGTTTTTTATACTTTCATTATGTATTAATAAACACTACAGAGAATGGCTAGGGACTTTTGAAATTTTACATGAATGCTATATTATGTGTCTTGGTCTAAAACTTAACTTTTCACCCAATTCTATGTTTTGGAGATCTACCCACACTGATATATATGGCTAGACTTCATTTGTTTTAACTACAGAGTATTCTACGAGCTAAGTTTGCCACAAATTATTTAAGAGCTCCCATAGTGATGGAGAGTTAGGTGACTTACCATTTTCACCATTAGAAAAAACACTGTAGGGTTCAATCTTCCCATTATCTTTTCTCAAAACCAATCTTGTCTCTTAAATAATCTCTGAATTATCTTATCTCTATGAGAGTTTGCAAACTGGTGATTCACATACTGTTTTAATATTTGCACATTGGTTGCTAACAGTTAAAATTGGAGGATTAAAAAAATGGATGTCAACTCAATAATAATAGGAAACTGACCACACTAAATCTGCACTGTAGCCAGGGAACAACAGTTCAAGCTGAAGAGCAGTTGCCTCCTTTAGATCAGTTCAGGTGATCTCTAGTTTTTCTCCAAGTCTCTTTGCCTTTTGCACCCATCTGAGTGAGCCCTGCGATATTTGAATTTTCAACCCCCAATATAATGTAGGGACATAAGAAGGTAACCTTCAAAATATATATATTTCAGACATTCAAAGTTCTATCATGAGTCCCTATTTTGGCCAGACACCCTCAAAGGAGGTCAGGGGGCATCCATGAACAAGATGGGTAGGAACCTTATAGTTAGAGATCTTATGTCCATGATAAAGGAGATGAACAATAAATTAGTAGACAAATAGAACAAGTTTCATTTAGTGATAAGTGCTAAGTAAAATAACAGCTTAAGGCCCTAAGAAGTTATTGTAAGGGATGGGGTACTAGAGAGGGAGTGTCAGGGAAGGGCTTCCTGGAAAGGCACCTTTGGGGGTTGAGATGTGAATGAAAGAGCCAGCCATGGAATGATCAGGGGGAAGAGCATTCATAAGCAAAACTTATGGCTAAACCATTGGTCTTTCGCACATTTGAGGAAGCAAGAGGTTGGTGTAACTGTATTGTAGTGACAGAGGAACAGAGTGACGTGAGATTGAGTCACAAAGGCACAATTTTGAGTGTGATTTCTTTTATTAAATTATTTTTAGACAGAGGAGAAAGGAGGGAGAAGGAGAAGGAGAGAAACATCTATGTATGGTTGCCTTTCAGACGTCCTCCTACTGAGGGGACCTGGCCTGCAGCACAGGCATGTGCCCTGCCTGGGAATTGAACTGGCGACCTTTTGCTTCGCAGTCTGGCGCTCAATCCACTAAGCCACACCAGCCAGGGCTTGAGTGTGATTTCTTAACTTGAAATCTGGAGTCCTTGCTGAAAAAAATTTTGTTCTTTGAAATTTACTAGATTTTCCTTTAACTGCAAAATTCCTCTTTGGATCAACTGTTAAATGCACAGCTTATGTAAATTAATCAGATACTTTTCTTCCTAAGGATGATATTTAGAGGATAAGAGCTTTGATCACCATCATCCCACCCTCAATGCGAATATACTGTATAGCACAGGTACGCAAGGAGGAGTAAGGGTGTGAATTCCCTGGGAGTGAAGGCGATGCAAATGCACAGATCCACAGGCTTTAGACCTGCTAAACCAGAATCCCAGGAATCTCTATTTTTTTAAAACATATTTTCTATGGATAATTTTAAACATGTACCAAAGAAGACAGAATAGTATATTGAACCCCCATGTACCCATCATTCATCTGTTGACTCATGGTCAATTTCCCTTAAACCCGTCCCGCAACATTTCCCCCTCTGCAGTATTAATATTGAAGTCAACCCCAAACATTATTTAATATTTAATATATTTCAGTAAAGCTCTGAGAGATAAAAAACTTAATCACAATATCACTGTTATTCCTGAAAGTTATAATAGCTTAATACAGGATGGGGCAAAAGTAGGTTTACAGTTGTGAGTACCCAAAACACAGAATTCATCCATGTATTAGTATTTATTAATTGTTGTATTATTTTCCATACAAAAAAACTCTAAACCTGCTTTTACCCTGCCCTGTATTATAAAATATCCAGTCATTGTTCAAATTTCCAATAGCATTATAAGTGTCATAATAATTTTTCAAATTTCATTTGAATCAGGAATGGTTTTCTGTAAGGTCCTTAGGTGGTTGAGTGGGTTTGGGTGCCACCGTTGTACATCCTCATTTATTGAGCTACAAACATGCATTGTTCTTCCCCTTGCAAAGTTTACACACTAAGGAGACGGCAGGTGTTTCAATCCAAAGCAAATAGCTGCTCTACCTCAGTGCTTGGAAAAGAGCCACCCTCTAGTTGTCCTGTGTGGTTCATATAGGGAAGAGGTTTTTAGTTTTTGTTTCTTTAACTTGGAAGCCTATACCTAATTTGCTAAGTGTTCCTTCACCTCAATTTCCTGCCATACCAGAATGCCTAGTCCAAGATAGGCCCGGCTCAGTGCTGCTTTGGCTGTCTGGTTTAGGAAGGAAATAACTAAAAAAAAAAAAAAAAAAAAAAAAAAAGCCCTGGAGTATAAATGAGCTTTGCATATTCATGAAACTGACAGAATGGCAGTGTACTGGTCTGGATTTCTTTTCTATTCTTTTCTACTCTACATCTTAAAGATTAGCGGAGGCCCCTAAAATGATATAGAGACCATTATACTTGTATTTTACTGCTAACTGCTTTGGAAAAACAAGGGGTAAACAATAGACCTGAAAATTTACAAAGATTTAGACATTTACAAAATTCTTACATACATGGCCTTTAATAAATTTGTCTTCTTCACTGGGCTCTGAATTCCTTAAGAGCAGATATTATGTTTTATTTGATTTTTGTATTATAACCACATTGCATAGAACAAGACACAAGGCACATGCTCAATAAATGTGTGTATTTTGAAAGAATGAAGTTCTCCGATTTTAATTCTGACCGTGAAGCGATTCATGCAATCCCTCTTTAAACCCCGAAGTCCAAAGGTACAGACCCAGTGACAGTGCCAGTCAGACGGCATCAGTGATGCCCAGGCACGTGCCCTTTTGTGTTTTGCTGCATCAGCTTCCATGCCAAGGGGATCTGGCGAAGGAGTTAATCCTAGAGATTAGGGAAATGGTCGACTGAGTGATCCTTTTAAAAAAATTATTAGAAACAGACTCAAAGAGAGAGAGAACAGATTGATTGTTGACAGGGCATGGGGTTGGGGGGCTGGGTGACAAAGGAGAAGGGATTAAGAAATACAAATTGGTGGCTTCAAAACTGTCCCAGGGATGTAAACTACAGCCTCGAGAACATAGTCAATAATATTGTAATAACGGTGGATGGTGCCAGGTGGGTATTTGACATGTCGGGGGGAATCACTTTGTAAAGTTTATGATTGTCTAACCGCTATGCTGTACCCTTGAAACTAAAACAAAATAATATTGAATGTAAACTGTAATTGGGTCATCCTTTTTAAACAATATTTGGGATAGTTTCAGTTCATGATTCTACAAAATTAATGTTTTAATCCAATTTCACATTCACACTTCCTTTTTAAATCCAATAGCAGTTAACAGGATTTGGGGCTGATTATCCACAAGACTTGAGGACGAGTCTTCTTATCAGTATCCTTTTTCCAAGCTCTTGTCATAGGAATACTCCAGCTTTTGCAGAAGGCTTGTGTTTTAGGTTTAACCAGAAGACGAAGTAATACCATGGACCAGCAAATTAGCTGTACTGAAGTATAAAACTTCCATCAGTTTTCTCTCCTTTTCCTGAAGTTCAGTGGTATTACCACGGAGTGTTACAAAACTGCTAAGAAATACCTGTAGGGATAGCTTTTAGTGTAGCAGGAAAATAGAA